AAAAAAAAAAAAAAAAGTTTTTTATATATTCTACGATTTGTGATATGATAAACTTGTTAAAACCCGTCGAATTTAATTAGAATTCGCAAAGTTATTATCAAAACCGTCAAAACTTTCGAGACTCATCAAACCCATCGAAACCCGTCGAAACCTGTCGAAACTGTCGAAACAAATTCTGAAAAGTTTCAACTTTTGCTAAAATGGGTTTAGGGTTTTGCCCTGCAACTATATCTCAGAATATATAGTTAAAATAAAATGTGAAAGGTGTAACATGGGGTAACAAATTATTTAAATAGTAATCATGTGATACCAGTGCTGAATACCAGTAGGAATATGTAGTAATTTTCATAATTTTAACTCAAAATCAGTTTAATAAATTGAAATTATAATAATAAAAAATATTGTAAAAAATTGTAGAAAATTGAAAAAGATACAATATTTTTTTTCAGTTTTAACTAATTTTAATTTTGGTTAATATTTTTTAAAATAAATCATGAGAATAATTATTTTTATAATTTACTTTATAAATATCTTTATTAATAATAAAATGATTTAATTAATTTATATATATATAAATTTTAAAAAAGATTTTAAAAATAAATTTTTTTTAACTTAATTCTAAAACTTAATTATTTAAAGAACTTCTTAATATACTAGAAATAACTTTTAATAAAGTTTAATAGAATGTATATTATATTATTAAAATAATATTTTAGAAATTAATACTTATTTTTTAAGTTTACAAAAAATTATTTGCTTTATATTTAAGAGATATAATAATTTCTAAGTTAAAATCTAAATATAAGGTAAAAATATTTTAAGCTCATGCTTAAATGAATTTCAATTTAAAAGATATTCTAAAAATGAAGTTTTTAGATTTGAATTTACAATTATAAACTAATCAAATTAAAGAATAGTGTCATTATTAGTTATTATTTTTTAGCAAAAGATAGTATTAATAGAATATTTATATATTATAATAATAATATTTTAATATTTGATTTGTTACCTTTAGCGTAATACTATAATTACTAAGTAAATTCTGCAATTAATATTATTATATAGGCCAAAATTGTTATTTTATTTTGTTCAGTTTATTAAACAAATATATTAGATCTATAAATAAGTAAGTTAATAGTTTTAGTAATATTTAATGGTTGGTAATGAATGAATCTTTTTTAATGATTTTGTATTATTTTATTTTAATAAAGTATCTTTTATACAAATGTTAATTGTAATATTTCTATACATTTTTGTATTATTAACAAAACATCTAAAACCGCGTATACTAGGAAATGTGGAACCATTGTAAGTCCTAAGCTCAATAATTATTGGTTAGACATCACGTAAGCGGACACAGAAACACACGTGACCGAAAAATTAAATGGATTAAAGTTTAGTTAAAAATCCGTATTTAAAATCTAAAAATATTTGCAAAAAAAAAAAATCCTTTAAAAACACTTCCCTCGCAAATTTACTTACCCCAAGACCTGGCACTTTTTTTTTTTTTTTTTATTTGTAGATTGATGACTTCCTTGAACCTTTGAGATCGGTTTGTGGTATTTGGCGTTAAATTTGATGGCGTTGTTTACACTAATAATATTAACTAAATACTTTTTATTTGTCCTTTTGTAGATATCGGCGCGAACTCCATTCATTACAAAAAGAATAAAAAAAAAAAGAATACAGATCGGATTACAAAAATAGGAGATATCAGTATGATCCGAACGCTTTAATAGGTACCTTCATTCAAGACAATATAAAAGTATGTTAGTAGTACATTTTATCTTCACAATTTTTCATATTCCGAGATTTTTATTATGTCTATCTGTCCTTACTAATTTTGGCGAATTCCCCGAACAATCATAATTTTTTCAATTACAAGAATTTCTTATATAAAGTTCATATTGAACTGAAAAAAAAAAATAAAAAAAAAAATAAGGATTAAATTACAAATTGATTTAAGATATAAATACGATGAAAAAATCTTTTTATTTTGAATCATAAAAACAACAACATATTAAATGTTTCTAAATATTTTTGCACCTCCAAGAAATATTAATCGAGGAAATAGAATTTGTCAAAGAAGACTTTTAAACACTTCTACACGATCTCCAAGTTTTATGGAAAGAAAAAGGAACGAAAATAGAGAGTTGTTGCAAATAGGATTTATCAAAGAGCTCAACTCATCAATAATGAAGACACATTGAATAGAATCGCAAATCTACCTACACAAATGACCAATAATCTCAATAATCTATTAAACTAATATACTAATAATCTGTTGGTGGAAGAATTCTTCAATGGTGCTTCATTCGTTTAAACCTTCCTTTGAAAAGTTGGAATTTTTTTTGACGGTTAATTTCGTTCATCGTTTATTTAAATTAAGCTTATTCTTAGTGATTCTTAAAAGTTTTATGTAACGTTTATTATGTATGATTTTAAATAGAATTTTTGAATGTAAAAAACTACTTTTAATGTATGTTATTATATTAAAAAAAACAATTAAGTGATTTATGATGATGTAATGGAAATGCATTAAAAATTTTGGATGTGATCATCTCATCGTATCGTTATGTTACATCCTATTGATTTACGATTTTCATTTTGCCATGTTTCTTTCTTTTTTTTTTTTTTTTAGGACAGTAAAGATTCATAAAAAACGTAAAAGTCAAAATAATGATTTTGGGATTTATTTATCAAATATAAAGAAAGTATTAGCTAATTAGCTCGGAAAGTTCGCCAACTGAAAAAAAAAAATTTGTCATTGGTCGATAACGTATTTGGAAATTTCGGCGATGATCCTACAAATAAAGGGGCATTCTTTTGTTTCATGTTTGATTGTTCAATTTTTTTTTTTCGTTTGTTATTATTTGTCATAATATTATTGCATAAAAAAGCCATCTTTTTTTTTTTAAGAAAAAAATTTTTTTTCTTTTTTCTTCCAGCGAAAATAAAATCCAGTGATTATTTGTAGCATTACATTCTGCAAATTCTTTCAAATGGTCATATATAGACTAATCAGATATTCATGGGTTGCTGCAATATGATGTAAGGTAATTTTATTGTACGACCAACAATTTTTAAATAAAGAACATAACCTTAAATCACATGATACAAAAGTATACGGAAACATTATTCTTTCGCAAGTACGTTTTGTAATAAAAGAAACTTATTATATTAAAAAAAAACCAATCCTGATTACTTTAATTTTGCTATTAAAATGGTCTGTAAAACAATAAACTTGATAAATTAATTGAGGAAATCTATTTATAAGTGACGTGCACGTGTAAATTTTTTTTTATTTTATGGGCAAAAAGATTAAAACAAAGTGAATTCACAAAATGATATGAACAAGAAATGATAAATTTTCAAAAGCGTCGTTTATTTTAATTGATAAATATTAAAAATTGTATCTATGCATAATTCAATTTATCGAACATAGTTTACACTTAATAGTCCAAATTTAATCAAAACTTAATAAACGGAAAAATCTTCTAAGCATGCATACATTCCCTTTTATTATCAGCAGTATTTTGGCGGGATTAAATTTTTAATTTACTGATAAGGGAAATACCTAATTTATTGTATGCCTGTAATATGTTGACTGGTTTAATCTTGTTTTCGCTAGAATTGATCAAAATTTATTCTAAATACTGAAACAACGCTATGCATTCAAGGCAGAATTTATAAATGGATGATAAAAAAATTTTTGTTTATGCATGTCAAAGCTTGCATTGTAGTTCAATCTGACGTATTAAGGTTCTGCGCATAATAGTATAATTGTAAACCTAATTTGGACTAATTAATCGAATCGTTGCCTATTTTGTATTGAAATGAAATCACAAAAATTCAACATCTATTTTACTAAAATCTGTATGATTTCGTGACGAAAAAAATTCCAATTTCATGTACATACATTATATAAATTTATAATGTAAAGAATTGACTATCAAAATTGAACACATAACGTTCTGCTCTCGATTCGCTGCACTCTGCATCAATTCTTGAGATCATCACTGATATATTATTGTAAAAAAAATTTTTATTTTTGATCGTTTATGGTTCGAAGTCCATTGATAAATAAGATAAATAAAATAATTGTACTTCTAAAATACTTTGTAATTGAGAAACGATAATTTAAGATCTTTCATATTTTCATAATCAAATCAAATCTTCAACGGAGAGAGTACACCGTTTTTGCTTTGTTAAAATGACCAAATACAGATTGGATCTTATTGATTGTGATTGTTATTCTTTTAATTGTCTTATGCAACTAACTTGTATCAATGTAATTAATATTTCTATTGTTCATTTGAGATTATAAAGTACTCTTTTTTTTTTATGTATTTAACATTAAATTTAAATCAAAAAAGGAATAATTAGAATGTTGTGAACTTGTACAGGTTCCGGACGTCACCGAAGAATCATTACTTGAAAAAGGTATTAAATACAACCGGAATCATATTAATTTACTAAATTTGATTTTTGGATGAAGATTTTACAACTGAGCTTCGAAATTTGACCAATATTATACTAAGATGATAAATATTATAAGTAAGCGTCCCGTATAATGTGAGAGTTAATTTCTTCACTTATTCGTTTTTTGTCATTAGTTTAAAAATTACATAAATAAAGCAAGCGATAACATTTATGTTTCTTGTTCAAAACTTTTGCAAGATTTTATATAATAATTCATAAGACAAATCTCGTGTATCCAAAAAACAGATGCTATGTTATAGGGTTAAAAAATTAAAAGCCTTTTATAATTCAATACGTGTCGTGTCAACATTGAATTTGCCTGATTTATATAAATTAAACACGAAATTGTTTAAAAATGGCGATTACCTGAATAAACAGGTTTGCAACAAAGTATAATAAGCTGTAATACTATTGTTATATGTAACAGTTATTTACCGCAAACTGAGAGTCACGGCAGTTCGTGATACTAAATAAAATATATAAAACTCCGTAAAATAAGGATATATTTTAATTCAACTATGAATATTTCAAACAATTTCAGACGATTACCACGAAACAATAATCAAGTGAGAGTAGTTCAACGTAGAAGGGAACGGTTTATAAATAACCTTCAAGGAAGTCGTTTTATCACTCTTGCACGACATCCCAGAATCATTAATCAAGGACAAAACCAACGTGCACGATTTCCAAGAATCATTCGAAGAAAATACCAACGTGCAACTTATCAAAGAAGAAGACGAGTTCGACTTAACGCTGATACATTGAATAGAATCGTAAATCTACCTACACAAATGACCAATGATATCAATAATCTCAGCAATATCGATCATATGTTGGTGGAAGAATTCTTCAATGGCGCTTCATTCGTTCAAACCTTAACTTGAAAAAAAATTTTTCTAATTGGCAATTTTGTGGGCAATTTCTTCTTGGGAATATCCTCGATTAGCAACATCATTTATTATTTATTCTTAGATGAATTTTGATCCAATTTTTAAAATTTTTTCTTGTCCCGCTATTATTTATAAAACCTATTTATTCATTAACATATGTATTTATAATTTTTCTATTTCCTATTATACTGTATTTTACAAAAAGAACCCAACCTTTTAAATATGTATGTTAGTTTACTTAATATTATATTATGTAACATTTATATATCATGTGATGATCGTTTAAGGAAATAAAAAATTTTTTAATGTTAGCAAGCCGTCAAATGTAAAAAAATGAATTATGATCTTTTGAACATTAAAAATCGTGTTGATTGATTTTCCTTAGAGAATATGGGACCATTGCAATAATAAAATGAGTTAATGCTAAACCTCTGAACATATTTTGACCTAAAAATCATAAAAGTAAAATTGATTTTTCCACAGTTCCCCCTTTATTGCCAAGAGCTAACTTAATAGAGAATTATTGTTCACCTGTACACATTTTAATTATGATCTTGCAATTAATTACCTAAATCATAATCGTGAGAACACTTTTTTTTCAACAATGAAAATCAAAACAATGGGATGATATTTGTACTATCCTGATTGATGAAAGAATCCTAAATATCCCAAATTGATAGACAAAAAAAATTTAGTGCTTCCGATCTTACGATTTTCAGCCATTTTTGTAGCTAATGAAGAACAAAGAACTAGTTTTTATTTATTTATTTATTTTTTTTTAAAAAATAAAATGAATAAATAATTTATGAAAATATACGGAATAATTCCACATAATGGCATGTTCGACTTGTTACAATCCTTTTCCTCTTAGAGATGCGAGTTTTAAGCGTTTATCGAATTTACTTTTTTAAAAAGTAAAGGTTTGATTGTAAATATTATTAAAATGAATTGATGAAATGTTATTGTATAGTTCTCCTCAATAATTAATGAATGAATTTGACTTGAAATGGCTTTGTAACAATAGTAAATAATCACGTTGTCCATTTATCGGTCAATAGTCATTAAAGTAAAATTTTGTGCCTTTCTTTTTAAATTTGCTAGGGGTTAATACAAATACAAATATAAAGCTCCAACTGATGTTTTTACATAATCATGTTAAACGCATTATTTATCTGTAATCAATTAAATTTACATGGCATGATGAACCAATTTGTCATTTAATAGTTATTTGGAATTCAAATTAAATAAATGCAATTAGCACGACTTAATCAAACCAACTTAAAGGAAAGATTTTTTTTTATCTTCCTTGTTTTACTAGTTAGGATTCTAGTATTCTACCACGTCACAACGCGGAAAAACCTCTAAGTGGTTTAAGCCCGACATTATGCTTTATCACATTATATAGACATCTTAATACATCATAAGACGTATCACGTTTGAAACAAACATCAGACACATTTAAAGTCTTCTTACATAATAGACATGCTCACTAGAATTGTTGATTATTGTGATATTAATTTCGGTTGACAAAATGATATTTGGTAATAAAGATACTGAGATGTCAAAAACTAAGAACAAAAATAAATCAAGATCAATGAATGCTGCGGATTGATTGAAAATCTTATTGGTCGGTGTAAGAAAAATTTTTTCTTATACTTGTGACATAAATGAGCGCAACCTTTACTCAACATTTATAAAATGACACGACACATTAACTTTCGACATTTTTGTATGAATGGGCTGAAATTATTATACTGTATATATCATGCATGTTCAAACATCAGAAGGTCTCAAGAAAATTGTTAAAACTTTATGATAATGAAATTCATAATAAAAAATTAAAATAATAAATAATAAAAATCATAGAAGAATATATCTTTATTACTATATACAGTATATGTTAAAATATAGCTCGAATTATTGTAGCATAAAAATTTGCCAAGGAAAAATTTATTTATTGTTTGCACTAATGTCTAAAAAGGAGTAGAATCACGTGAAGCACGTATAATTTGATTTCGAAAAGAGCGACTCCGAGTCGGTTCTGGATCCGATTATAAATACAGCATATTCTGAGTTTCCTGATTTACAAACCATTTTTAACCAATTTTAAAATCGAACCGGAACCGATTCTGGATCGGTTCCAAGAGTCGACTCAAAATCGGATTGTCATCAAATTAAAGATAAATAATAGGACGAATATGTTTGCTCTATTAGTATAAATTTAACTTAACGCTCAAAGTTTTAATTTACTTAAGAAGAGTCGAAGTATAACCGATTTGGAACCGATAGAACCGTCCCCACGCCTCTACTATATGAAATCTTTTTGTTATTTGTCACTCAGTTCATTACTTAATCATCGCCGTAATGACAAAAAATAAATATATCAAATCACTTCCGGAGGGTTTGAGGGATTTAAACGATAGTGTACATAGTTGGTTATAATATTTTATTAATTTGTCGTTTATAAATCTAACCTCATCACAAAACTCTGTCGATTCCAGGTTAGGCAAATTTTTTTATAAAAAATTTTATGATACAGTAAATACATGCAAAAGACGCAGTAATGCGTCTATCAAAGCGCAGTCAATTCTGCGGGATTTCATCTCCCCCAATCACCATCAAAAATCTCCGGACTTGTGACATTTGACCAAGAATATGCTAACTCCTAACCAACCTTAACTAAACCTAAACCTAAACTAAATTTAACCGTGACAAATAACCATGTGACAAATAATATTTCGCCACTCAAAAAAACGGAAAACTTGAGGGGTGTGATACGAAGTGACAAATATTTTATTCTTATCACGTGTCCGAGTAATAAAATCGAATTAATCGAAATCGATTTTAATCGATAATCGTAGTTCTCTGACAACGGTATATTGAACGCTTTAATTATTTTTATGAAAGGACTTACTTTAATAAAATTAAGTGTTTGTTTTCACACATAAAATAAGTTTAATGTTATAAAGATGTTGAAAAAACAGAAAATTACTCGTAATTCACCCGAGTTTAACACTGCTGTTCAAACTAATTAATTCTAAATAAAAAAAAATGCATACTTTTAAAAAAAAATCCATTAACCTATCTATGAATTAGAAATTTCTTTCTTTATTGATCAACCCAGCTTCGATTGAAATTGACAACGAAAAGGAAAAGGAAAAGTCTGAGGAAAGTAAGTAACGGACGAAAGAATGGATAACCGATGGAGATTGAGTTGAAAAAAAATTTTTTTCAAATAAATCTAGTGAATGCGTCTTATATATAAAGTTATAAAATTTAAAGCAGCGTAATAATAATTTTATTTATTTATTTTTTTGCATAACCTACGCTATGCAAAAGGATTATAATCTCACTATTTCATTCTTGTGAGAAATATGCCTAAGTTTAACAAATAAATTTTAAACGAATTTTTAATTAATATTTTTCTTATTTATTTTTAAGGGACGAGTTTATTAATAAAATCCAATATATTTATTTCATAACGATAAGAACAATAAAAGATTATTTTTTGCCAACAGATTCAACACCATCACCATATCTACTGCCAGTAATTTCAATAGAATTAATGATTTGACGAATTTCAGATAATTCCTCGTTAGAAAGCTTTACTTTTCCTGCACCAATATTTTATTCCAAGTATTTAATCTTCTTCGTACCAGGAATAACGATCATGTTATTACTCTAAAAAGAAGAATTTGAATCAATATAAAAAAGGCTAACATGAACCATGACTCAAATAAGATTTAATAAAATTGGTAAATACTTGAGCTAGTACCCAAGCCAAACAAAGTTGACTTGCAGTTACACCTTTCTTGGTGGCGAACTCTTGAATTTTATCAACAATTGCCAAATTCTTTTTAAAATTCTCACCCTTGAAACGGGGCAGAGTTCGACGGTAATCATCCTTATCTGGTGCAAAATCATCGATCGTTCGATACTTTCCAGTTAAGAATCCACGACCGAGCGGACTATAAGCAACAATAGTAATACCTAATTCATGACATGCTTTCATAACACCATTAGTTTCAATCTCAAGTGACCATGGGCTATATTCAACCTTTGAAAATAAACGATTGTCAATACTTATTAATTCATCGTTTTGTTTTAAAATTTTACATATCATACCTGCACAGCTGAAATAGGATGAATTTTATGAGCGCGTCGAAGTTGATCCTCATCACATTCCGAGAGTCCGATGTATTTTACTTTGCCTTCTTTAACAAGTTCCGCCATAGCAGCAACAGTTTCTTCGATCGGACTTTTATAAGATAAAAAGTTTAATTCTTAATCATATCTCATTTCAATGTCAATAAAAAATTAATTTCATTTATTGTGCTTACGTCTTGGGAATCATACGATGCAGATAATAAAGATCGATCTGACTAATCCCCAACCTTTTCAAAGAATTGTCACAACATTGGCGAACGTACTCGCGATCTCCTCTTAGATCTACCATTTTTCCTTCTTTGTCTCGAACAATTCCAAATTTCGTACAAACAAATACTTCATCACGGCGACAATCTTTTATAACTTTTGATAAAAGGATCTCACTGGCTCCATTTCTTCCATAAATATCCTATATAAAAAATTGCAATGAGCATGAAAGGAATTACCGATATTCATAGCTTTTTCAATTGCTTGACGCAGTTACCGCAGTATCCAAAAAGGTACATCCTAACTCGAGTGATCTTTTCACTACTTTGAGACTTTCACCCTGTCAACGGATCCATAAAATTCAACTAATCCCTATTTTTAAAAAAATTTCAAAATAAAACAAAAGAATTATCTCGCGAGTCTCTTAATAAATCTTAACAACATATAGTAACGTCTTATACCATGCATCCCAAGCCAATAACTGTGATCTGAACTCCGGTTTTATCTAATTCGCGGGTTGGAAGTGACATTTTAACTTTATTCCACTCGTTGGATGTGAAAATTGATGTGAAAACATTTTTGAAAAGTCTTGTTCTTTAAATATTTTTTTAAAATCTAAA